CAGAAGAATAATGTTGTTATAACAGCATATGATAATTTGTTAAATCCGTAAAAGGAACAACAGGAGTATTGTAATTAACCGAAGGGATAATAGAACTATTTGGAATTGCTAAAGAAGTAGCAGAGACACTTGAAGTAGTTGAAACAAATACATTTGAAGTTTTCGGTAATGGTAATATTTTTTTAATTTGTTGAATGGTTGTTTTTTTTTGTTTGCTGTTGGAAACATGATAATCGTAATATGAAAAGAGTTCACTCAATCATTGATCGCAATCTTTATATTCATTGACTGTAATGATTGTGTGTCATCTCAATCACTATCTAATTACATTCAGGAAGATGCTTGAGAGCACCCTAAGCTTCGATTTTTTACACGTACTTAGGTTCTATACCAAGACACTCCCTGATTGCCAATTCCCTTTGAAGACTTGTTTAACCCAAGTTGGGCCAACATCTAACTCATAATTAATCAAGAAACTGACCCGTATGAGCCTAACCCGATAAGAGCTCTAGTTATTGCTAAAGCCAATAATTTAGAGAACAATAGCTAAAAGTCATGTTAAAACCATGGTGGAAATAGTAAATTTCCATAATGAAAATAGACGCTTCCTAATTTTAAGCTATAGCTTCAAACTATAGCTAAAAGTTAATAACTTCAAACTAAAGCTTAAGCTATAACTGAAGCTAATAACTTTAAGCAATGGCTAAAGCTATCTTTACTTTGGCTTAAATTATAACTTAAAGCCATAGCTTTGATTATAGCTTAGGCTATTTATTCAGCTTAGTTTTATTAAGCTTAGCTTAAATCTTCAGCTAAAGCCGGCTTCAAGTAAAGCTGATTACATCCCTAGGGTAGCCTAACAGCTCACCGATTAAAAAGCTACTCAAAAAAGCTGCACTATGAAGTTACACGATGAAGTTACACATACTATGACCAAAACACATGATCCAATAGCATGCAAGATTTTGCGCACTCACTTGCCTGTAAACCATGCACTACGTTACGTACGTATGTACGTACGGTGCAGGAAACCTAAAAACTTCGATCACTTTATATAGAATAAAGGTTAATTAACTCATTGAAGATAAACTAAATTTGTCATCTCAATAGCATGCTATTGGTTCTTTACTTATTGAGATCGATAATCTAGGACATTTATTTTCGATATGCTACTGGTTTATGCATTATCCCTGCATAGAATATTGAGATTTTTAAATTTTCTGCACCATACGTACGCACTTAAGAATTCTGTGTCAGGTTAATAAATTTTTTTAAAGTTCATTTGTGCTGGGTTAGCGTTTAGGATTGTATTTAAGGTTAGACAATATATACTAAAATTGTCCAAGGAGGTTTGTGGTTCAGGAAAGTTGCGTAACGAACCTGGCAGAGAATTCTTGAGTGCCTTAGATAAATAAACATTACAATTTTAGAAACATTTGGCAACAATATATTTAATCATTGCAAATTGCATGTGTGCTCTAGCGTACTACGTAATACTAAAATACAATTATAATATATACAGTATTTAATCAATATGCCTGTAAGTTGTCGTTTAAAAAATTGCATACGTAAATTAACATGAAGCCTAGAATAAATCTTGAGTTATGTCAAGATGCTTTAGGAATTCTTATTTTTGCTCTTTCCTTTGCATGTAGTTTTATTGGTAAGTTAGAGATTATATATATTTATGTAACAGGAGGTATAATAGCGCAGGAGGGTAATGTGGCGCATTAAAAATAATTAAAAAAACCAAGATTTTAGCAGGTGAAGCGAATTTCGTCTACTAAGTAAGGTTATTGGAAATGTCGTTTTTAGATGCCTTCAAATTTTTTATACGATTTAGGGCGTTCTCAAGCACCCACCTCAATGAATTCAATAAAAAATCTGATTGACTAGTTTGATTAAACTGACCAATCAGATTCGTTATTGAGTCCATTGAGATAGGTGCTGAGAACATCCTTAGTTAACTTTTCATAATCAACTTTTACGTTATATATCTGAGCAGAAAATTTAGTTTTTATATCTAAAATGCATAATACGAAATTTGATTAATAAAAAGTTAACTAAATTCAAAGATATCACAAATTATAATCATATCGGTATACTGTTTAATAATACACTAATAGGGACACATTATCCTCCAGGTTTAAAATTTCATCTTTTAGCGGATAATCAAATATATTCAATTTATTGCCAAAAGATGTCTTCTTTTTTTTTTTTTTTTTAAAAATACATGATTAGAAGTACAAGTTTATATACTTTGTAAATGTTCAACTTTATTTTGGAAAATTTTATTATTAATCGTTCTTAACCGCGCCATTTTACCGCCTTTGTCTTATATGTGTACAAAAAAAATTTTAAGCATAATGATTGGGGATATGTGTATAAAATTAATTGTACTGTGAATATTTAATAGAATATAACTGCTGAATGGATTGGTTAACATATCACCTGGCATTTACGTAATAAGCAATTTTCAATACGATATGACAAGAAATACAACAACTGTCGGCCCTACAATTATGTAAGTACGTATATTATCACTGGTTTATATAGTCTAGTAATTCAGGATTACTGAATAAGTCCAGCAAAATCATTTTATTTGGTCTAATTGATATATTTTATTGCCGTTGATCATGATTCAATAAATCTGGACTGAGTGATTGGAATATGAATTCAGATAATCTTGTTGACCACTTACTATAGGTTCAATCTTCAATGTTAGAAAATATAGGTAACTTTAATTACAAATGTCTGATTGCAAAGCCATCGGATCATAATAAAAACCTATATGAGAATATCGTCTTATTTGTTATTTTATACACTAGTCCAAACGAAAAAAAATCAATATTAGTTCAGACTAGTTGAAACTATATTAATAAGCTGCTGAATGTATACTGGTAATTGTCGACATTCTGCAAGTATTCTGCAAGTTCTGTCGATATTCGACTAGTTTAGAGTGCCGACAAAAACTAATATACATTCAGCATATTCGGCAGACCATTAATATAGTTTCAACTAGTGTGAACTGGTACTAAGTTTTTCGTTTAGAATAGTGAAATTTTATTTCACAATGTGTTACTATTTGGGCACATTGACAGATATGGATTTTTTCATATCAGATTCATAAATGTAGAACATATTATGTATCAAGAAGGTAATTATCTTAAATAATTACTAATTATTTGTGATGCTTATCGTCTTGATGCATGATAATTTGTTGATTTTGCAAATTTTCCAAATTGTAGCATTGTGATAGCGATTATGAGTATAATTAATTAAAGATTGTTAATGATTAGGGCTTGTTATTATAAACTCTGAAAGGTGTTCGAATCACAATATTTTAGTCAATTTTCATTCAATGTACTAAAAATTTATAAGAGCAAGCGCATTTTCAATATTAGAGATTTATAATAGAGAGGACCGACTATAATTTAATATTTTAACAGATATACTAACTTGCTAATCTTATAGGAACTTTGATGCATCTGTATATTATAATTATATTGATAACAATGGCCCAGGAATTCAAATATTTTTTTACGTTGCCGAAGTGATTGGAATGCTAATTTGTGGTATGAATTAAATTACAATTCTACGTTTAATATTTTAAACGTAATTTATATAATATATAAACTATTTATACAGGTTTTTATGTAATTTGTAAAAAAACAATATATATCTCACAAAATAAATGGAAAAATTACATTTACATGTAAGTTAAATAAGCTCGTAATTACATCAAAAGTTCATACAAATATTAACATTATATTACATTTAATTAAGTTTTTCTTTAACGGTATGGATTGCTTATGGTAATTTATATATCAATATAATGATTTATTTAAGTTTTTTTTTTAAAAAAAAGCTCAAATTACAATCCTTTTATTTTTTAGCAATTTATAAATCAATCTTATCCGTGAGAATATACCTGTTTTTAGAAAATCAAACTCCTAGATACGGAATTGATGTTGGCCTAGTACAAGAAACCTCTCCTACAATTTCTCGGTCTGGCAGCAATCTTATAACTTTTACATATGATCATACTAGTGCTCCTTTCTCATTTATAATTATTCCCACACCCATAAAAACAATCTTTTTATTGTAACAGTTATTGGATGGCTACTTGTATTGTTACATGGAAGTTCTGTAATTTTAATGTATGATAATGTAAAAAAGGAAAGTACAAAAACAGAAAATTTCAGTACAGCTGACGAAAAAGAAGCTCATCTAAATGTGGTGGCCACTAATGTACCTGATGAAATCAGTCATAATCTTAATTTTTCAAGTATTGAGAATACATCCGATGAAATCAATGATAACATCAATCCTTTATATACTATGACCTCAATTGATAATGATGAAAGATTGATTGCACTTGAAGAACGGAAAGCTAATTTAAAAAAAATACAGTTGGAAAATATTAAATTGGAACGTGAACTTAATTCTCCATCATAATCTAGGTGCTTGAAATATTTAAATGGAGTTAAAACATAATTAAGTTAATTATTAATACGTATTCAGAAGTATATATATATTAATATAGCTAGGTCTTAGACCCGGGCGTTGCCCTGGGTGCTTCATCTTAAATTAAATTAATTAAGTTTTAGATATTCTAACTCAATATAAAAATATTTTCAAATTATATTGATTATTGTATTTACAAATTATATTTACAAATTATTATATACAAATACAAATTATTATATAAATTATTGTTTCTTAACCCGTTTTCCTGCAAATCTGCCCTGAAATTTTTTTCTAAATATAAAATCGTTAATATAAAAGAATTATTGTCGCAGCTGATGCTGGAAACGGCTGATGATTGAAATTAGGGACCTTAACAAAATCCACTTATACCTTTTATTACTAAAACTACCCCTAAACCCTAACCTAACCCTAAAAAAACCCCCTCTAACAAAAGGCCCAAAAAATTTTTGAAATTTCATATTAAAATAATTTAAAATTTCAATCATCAGCAGTTTCAAGCTTCAGCCGCAACAATTATTAATTGGTTAATTATAGTTAGTAATAGTTAATAATTTTGGTAATTATTAAAAATTGCTATGCAAGCAATTTAATAACTGCATATTATTGGGTCAAAATCTCGATAGACCATCCTGACAACCAAATCCCCGGCAAAAATTAATCAAAATTCAGCCAACATGCGTGGTACTAATACTAGATAGCTGTGCTATACATTATTAATTGGGGAATTTACAAATAAGGGCCGAAAACTGAAAATAATGGCCCAAAATGAAATTAATTACAAATAGAGGCCTGATTTTTGAAAATTATTACAAATAAGGGCCCAAAAAAATTTTGCGCTCAAATACCCATGATCAAGCCCGTCGATCAATGACTCGAATGTGACGTATAATATAGTCATTAATTATCAACCGCATAAGAAATCTAATAATGATAAAAATCCATTCAATTCGCTAAATATATCTTTAAACAACCTGCTTTGAACAATTACCATGTTAGATACATTACAAATCGGCAATACTTTTACTAATATGAAAAACGTTCGCTCAGCCTTGAACAGTTAATCTGTCAAATCCTCTTTACCTTATAAGTTTAGAAATAACAAACCAAACAAGCTACTTGCTGTTTGTCCTACGAATGAAAATAGTTCATGCCCTTTTACTGTTTCAGTTAACAAGCGCAAAGATGGTTTAATAAAGTTGATTTCTCATAATCCAACTTGTCAAACTTTTATGGAATAATTAACCAGTTGATGCAGAATCATGTGTTCTTGATAATTAAACTTTGCCGCCACCTACAATTAAACCAGCAGGATGGCCACGAAAAACTCAGTTGCGTAGTCGTGGAGAAACGGCATCAGAAAATCAGGTTACTGTAATAAAAAGGTCATAATTCGCATACATGCAGTCGAAGAATTAGAAATAGAAAATAGTATGTGCATTTTATTTAACATTAAATAGTTTCTATAACATGTAATTAGGCTTGTGTAGTAACATTCAAAATTGCGCTGATAATCAATTTATTTATTTTTTAATGAATTAGATAGAACAAATTCTAAAACGTCTAATTAATTATGACGCTATTATGTTTAACCCGACTTTTTTAGCTAACAATATATTTGGGCCCTTATTTATAATAATTTTCAAAAAACGGGCCTCTATTTGTAATTATTTCATTTTGGGCCCTTATTTGTAATTATTTTCAGTTTTGGGCCCTTATTTGTAATTTCCCCTTATTAATTAATAACTCGGCTAATTTTTAATAATTATTGTTAATTATTAATGTTGCGGAAGGTCCCATCACTATTTGTAGCTTTAAATCATGTGTTTAATGAAAGTATTCGAATTATTAGGGTTTGATACAAATCACTATAGATTCAATATAAAAATATTATGCTATAATTTATTTACGCGTGATATAAAAAATTTTGAGAACACAAATTAGATGATTTAAGAACTTAATTTTAAATCTGAGTTTTAAACTCAATTATGTAAATATAGGAGAATGATAATGTAAAGATTCGATTACATAATTTAAGAAACTCATAAAACTAAATTTAATAAATTCGAGGACTAATTCTAACTTTCAACTCTTTAATATTGTTGATTGTTGAGGTAACAATTTTTAATGGCCCATGTTCATTCACCAATTCAACGTCATAATATCTATAAACTGACGCCATCAATAAAAGTAGCTCACACATTGCCAGCTTTCTTCCAGGACAGATTCTTGAACCTCTACCAAAGATTATCAAAGAACATGTATTTTCTAATCTTTTATCATCAACATCATAAAATCTATCCGGGTCGAAAACTTCAGGATTAGGCCAAACTTCAGGGTGACCATGTACCCCTATAATATTTAAGTGAAATAATGTACCAGCATCCCATTTGTATCCCGCAACTTCAAACTCTTCATTAACGTAGCGAGTTACTAAATTTAATACTGGCATCATACGACTAGCTTCTTTAATTATAGCTTCACAATATTTCAGCTTTGAAAGATCATAATTTGATAGATATGATTTATTAAGAGATTTAAAGACAGAGTCAATTTCTGAAATCATTTTTTGTTTTACATTTGGATATTTACAGATATAGTAAGTTATATAGCAAAATGTGTTAGCAGTCTAAATATAGGCAAACAGAATAATAAGCAAATGAATAAGTAAATTATAAATAAATGATGAATAAGGAAAAATATTACTTACAGTTTCCGTTCCACCTATGAAAGCATCTACCAAATTACATCTGATGTCTTCATCAGTCATAGGCTCAAACGTCTCACCACTTATTGTTTTTACATTAAAAGTATTTTTATCAGTGTTTGAAATGATTAAAGAAGTTAGCATATCGGGTTTTATTTTTGCACCAACTGGCACTTCTTCAATCTCTTTTCTTCTCTTTTTGATAATGATATCTAATTTTTCATATATATAATCGCGGTTTCTTAAGTAATAATTTGCCTTATTTCTGATTATTGGGACGTAATGTCTCAAGAATGGTCCAACAAACGTGAAGAGTAAATATCCTTCAATCATTTCTATTAATCCTTTGACGAATTTACTTCCATCTTCAACCAGTGCATCAGAATATTCAGACTTTATAGTACTTTGCTTGTTATAGTAGGAGGCAATAGAATATGTACGTTCACTGGTGGTTATCAATGAAATAATGTCATTCGCAAATGCATGAAACCATTCAGAAAAATCTGTTTCTATAGTCCAATTATCAGCATTATTATAAATTGAAGCATTTTGCTTTCCAAGGGACTGCCAATATCTGCTCAATTCTTCAAACAATTTATTTGTAGACTCTACGGCCGCATCCATAAAGCTAGGTATCAGTAATGCCTGAGTAAAAAACAGTCTATTATACTTCCAAGTTTTATAATCATTATTACTGACGACTCCACGTCCGTATAATCCAAGTTCATCCATACCTTGCGAATATGGAAGTCTCGTAAAATATTTCGAAGACAAAATTTTTTCAATATATTCTGGCCGTGAAAGAATTATACATCTATGTCCATCAAACATTATTTCACAGATATCTCCATATTTTGTTCGACATTTATCATAGAGCAGTTTTGGATCGGAAAAAGCGATGTTATGAAGGTTTCCAATTAATGGTAAAGGCAATGGACCAGGAAGCGGATTTGTGCGAGTTAGGTATTTATAATAAAAGTTAAAAACATAAGTAGCGAAAATTAGGACTAAAAAGATAAAAAAATCTCTGACACTAAGGGCTTCAATAATTTTTTGAATAGCCATTTTGAATTATTTATATTTGTGCAGTAAGGGACCGAGTTGACTTAGTTATTTCGTCGTAAAATCAAAACTTTTTTTCGGAGACAAATTTTATTTTATATCCTCCTATAACAAAATTATCGCCCGTCGCGAGTGTCTTGTACATTTTTATCTTCATTTTGTTCATGTAAAATAAAACTTTATTTATTTTCGCGAGTAACACAAACCCAAAAAGTAAATTAAAGATATTCAACTTCGATCATTCCATCATCGTCGTGCATTTCCTATAATCAAGTCTATATAAGGTATTATAATAAAAAACTACATACTCGGCAATATTCTATAACTGAATCTTAAAAAAAATTCAGCGTCAAAACTATCATAAAGAGCTTAAACTTTACATATGATAACGATAAGAACCTTTTTTTTTAGCGATTTATAATTTTTGACCATTGTGACCTACCAAATGTGGTTGTGTAACGTTTATTATGTAACTAGCAATCGCCCGTGCCTCCAGCACGGGGAAAAATTAGTTGAAAGAATTAAATTTTTATCATAAGCTATTGTAAAAGATTCTATTACAGAACTTACTATTTTGATAACATAAATTATGTGATAGAGTGGTATTAGAACTATAATGTAAATAATTCTGTTGTAGGATTTGCTATTTTAGTAACGATAGTTTGCGTTAAGTCTAAATTAGTTTACATTAGATTATAATAATTTTTATTACAATTATGATAAAAAATTCTGTTAAGTACTTAATTGCAATGTGTGGCGCATTCGCGCCACACATCTTATGTAGTGTTTCTTTTAATTATATTACTGCTAAAATTCTTTTACATAATTTATTATCTATTGTAATATACACAATATATAATTAAATTTGAATAAGTTACATTGAAATTATTATGATTCTACCATGATTTTTCGCTAAGAATTCTGTTTCATTTGTTGAGTTAGTATTATATTATTATAATTTTTACCATAATTTGATGTAAAAAAAAACTATTATAGAACTTACTCTCTATTCGGAGACTACAATATATAGTTAAGATTGAGTTCGTTGCATTAGAAGTTATTTCTATTTTGATTCATAATTTACTCGTTAATACAGTACACACAGTGGTTAATTTTGAGTTAGCATTGAAATTGTTGTGATTTTTGCATAAAAATTTCTGTCACAGAACTTACTTGCTATTTAATATGTGGTTAAGGTTAG